TGAAACAATGAAAGTCTCAGAAGAAAACAGAGAAGTAAATTTCTGTGACCCCGGAATTTACAAATGCTTCTTAAGTACTGTATGCCAATAGCACAAATGGCAAAATAAAAAGTAGTTTAATTTCATTTCATGCAAATGTAAACTTTTGTGCTTCAAAAAGGACTCCATTAGGAAGGTTAAAAACTTACAGAATGACAGAAAGCATTTGAAAATCATATATCTAATAAGGGACTGGTATCCTGAATATATAAAGAACTCTTGCAACCCAACATTATAAAGCAAAATAGCACAATTAAATATACGCAAAGAATTTGAAAAGATGTTTCTCCAAAGTGAGACAGGTGTAATACAGTGTGGCCACCAAAGAGAAAATTTTAGGCAGCAGTTTCAGGTTGACTAGCAAAAGGAATCTGTTGAAATATCTGCAGAGGCTGTGGGCTAATAAGACCCTAAAAGACAGAGTATGGACCAAGCTGGCTAAGAATGACTGGACCCAAAATGACCCTGGGTATGACCTAGGTTTCACCTAGGACCCTATTATACACTCATTCACATACTAAACACACACCCACCAGCGTCCTGACAATTGTGAGAACACCCATATTTGGTGTAAAACTGAGTGGCGCCACACTTCTGAGCAATCTCCACCTTCTTTCAGGAATTTTCATGAATATTCCATCCCTTGGTTAAAGAAACCCAGAAAGGTGGCAGCCCCAAACCGCCTTGCACCTGCCTCTCTCTTGAGTTCCCCTGCACTCCTGTAGAAGGAGGGGAAACTGGTACAGGCTTCCTAAGGGACAGTGTGACAGAGTTCATCAAGAGTCAAAAATACCCAAGTCTGAATTAAGAATATGTATTAAGAATGAATTAAGAATATGTAGAATAGATTCTGGATATCTATTCTAACAATTAAATTGAGATTCATACAAGCACAGTTTCTGCAGCATTTCGTTTCTGTAAAAGTAGCTGACTGGAGACCATCTAGATCTTCAGACACAGACACCGGTTGCATTTGTTGTGAGTGTGTACTTTTCCTTTTAGAAAGAACTCTCCGCCCTTTCTCTATTTACCCACTGGTCCTAGAATTTATTTCCCCAGGCGGTGTCAAGAGCCCGACACCTGCTGGGGTCGAGGTCTCATCAGAGTTTGGGGACCACCCATTGCCCACTGGCATCAGAAGAAGAATCCAAATGGCAGTGAACCCAGGAAGAGGTTCTCAGTGTCCACAGCCCTCAGGGCAATGCCAACAGCACCTACAAGGGGACTCCTCACCCCGCTGGAATGGATGACCCTAAACACAGTGAGGGTGGATGGGTGGGGCCCGCGTTCCTTACAGAGCAGGGAGCAGGAGATGGAGAGTTGGTGTAGTGCAGGGTCTGTGTGTGTGTCATCCTCCTCCCATTTTCCTGGCGGAGGTTTCTCTTTGTTCTCTGGCCCTACCTGTTTCCTTCCTCACCCTTTCTCTGGTTCTCCCATTCTTCATTTCTAACCATCCCAAGGTTTTCTCTGCCTCACGACGTCATTGCTCCGGGCCCCCAGCCCAGTGGAGAAACCAGGGGCCCTGGACCGCGAGCGGCGGGGTCGGGGAGGCAACAACGGGAAGCTCCTGTTGGACCCTGGGCACTCAGGACCTAGTGCGCCCCGGGCGCCCTCCCGCAGCAGCCCCAAGGCAAGGAGGATGGGGATCCTTGCGGCGGCCACACTGTTGGATCCCCAGGGATCCAAGCCGGACGGTGACGTCTCCACACTGAGCCGGTGGCAAAGTCGCCACGAGGATGAAGGAGGAACCTCGTGCTCTTCACCCCACCAGGCCCCGCGTTTCCTGTCTCCTCCTGCCACGGTTCCTTGCCGCGACCGGGAGTCCTTCCAGGTCTTCCAAAAGCCGTTTTGTTTGGAGGCCCGGGAGCATCGACCCGCAGCGTGGCACCCTCTTAGCAGTCTCCACCGGGCGGGACCCGGGTCCGGAGCTCAGGCGGAGCAGGCGTCCTGGGAGGAGCGCGCAGAACCCGGAGAGGACGCAGCAGAGTCGAAACTGAAACTCCCTGTGCCAATTTTCTCCGAAAGTCATCTGTGGTTGAAATCAGAAATCACCTATAATATACTCCCTGTGACAACACCGTTGGGTAAATATCTAGAACCAGTGCCTCGTCACTGCAGCAGAACCTCACGCCGCTGCCCAGGTTCCGTGTCCCCAGACCCTTGTGGCCCCCAACAGATCGTGCGAACCCACCCTGTGACCATCGATGGGACTCCCGGCCCCACTCTTCCTTACTACTTCACCTCCACATTTTCACGTGTTTCGGAATCGGAACCATGAAAAGTCATGTGTGAAAGGCTCCCCGCCTCTGCCTGCGTCCACTCTCATTGGCCACACGCCTAGGAGGAAAGTTGATTGGATTCTTCTCATCTTTCCAGGGGGTCTTTACGCCATTTCAAACGAATATAAATACGTATTCTTAATTCAGACTTGGATATTTTTGAGTCTTGATGAACACTGTCACACTGTCCCTCAGGAAGCCTGTAACAGTTTCCCCTCCTTCTACAGTGGATGTTTCACCCTCCTCTGCCCAAGCTGGGCCTTCAAAATCACAGACAAGAGTGTCACCAGCATTGCCATCCCGTGACATGAGACGCTTTAAAGGTGCATTACTTTGCACAGCAATTCTGCATCTGGAAATCTGTTCTACACAATTAAATTGAGATTCATACAAGCACAGTTTCTGCAGCACTTCGTTTCTGTAGAAGTAACTGACTGGAGACCATCTGGATCTTCAGACACAGACTCTGGTTACTTTTGTTTTGATGCAGTCATTCTATGTAATGTCGTGCAAAGATAAAAAGGAAAAGAATCTGTATGTGTGGGTATTGGAAGATCTTCAACGTGTGCTATGTTGAGATAGAATCTGCGTTCAGTAGAGTGCCTATGGGCTTATATTTGTTTTAAAAACCAGAATTAATACATAAATATATCTCTACTGTTAGTAAGGAAAACAGTGTTTCCATAACTTATTGCTAGTCTGTTTATCCGTTTTAGGAAAACTCAATATACTTGAAAAGCCATGGTGGCAGGAATTGGTCATCACTGGCCCAGATTCTACACTGCCCTACAGATGATCCTAACTGAGGTTGCCAGAGGAACAGGATGTGGAATGTAGTCACATTTCAGAGAGAAACCTAGTCAGACTGGACCAGGGGTCTTGCCCTGACCTCTGCCTCTTCACCCAACTCCCACCTGGTCAGCCAGTGACCCTAGAGGGGCTGGGATGATGCTGGGAGGGCAGTGAAGATCGGGAGCCAATGGTGGGAGCATGGTGAACATGGAGAGCTCAGACCCCACACCATCTGGGGAGGAGCTGGGTGTGATGCTGGGAGCACTGGGAAGGCAGGGAGCCTGGACACAGCACTCACTGCTCCTCCCATCTGGGACAGGATTGGGGTGGGTGATGAGAAAAGTTTCCCGAGTAACACAGTTCCTAATCCCGGCAGAATGACTCACCCCAGTTGCACTACAGCCAAGACCCACTTGGCCCCCAGACCAGTCTATCACAGGGCATGGTAAATTCAGGAGTGAATACTACTGAGCCATCTGCCAGGGCGTAGGAAACAGTAACTAGAGGACGGCTCAGCAAGTGGCTCAGACTACCTCGCCCCACACTCTCCAATGCTGAGTGGGGAGGAAGCCTTGAGCCCAGGAGGTTGAGGATTCAGTGAATTATGATCGTGCCACTGCACTCCAGACTGGTGACAGAGCATGACTCTGTCACACACATGCTCACACACACAAATTGTGTGAGCAATTCTCACACAGGGAGATCCGGATGCGCTCACTGTGGATCCAGGTCTCAGGGAGCAGGAGGGTGTTCTGTATTGTGGGAAGATGGGGGACACACGTGGGAGGGGGTATTTGTGCCCAGCTTTGAAGGGTGGCTGACCCTTGGCCCAGGGGGAATGCGCTGACAGTGGGGAACCACTAGGAACTTTCTCTAGAACCTGCTCTGCTGAGCCCCCTGCGCCATCCCTGGACCTGCTGAACTGGGAGCTCAGGGCCCATCTCTCTGAGGAGCTTTCTAAATCAGCAAGTGTGTCACAGGTTGAGATTTTAGGAACGAGGTCCTCAATGTTGTCCTCGATTTTAATGAGTAGACTCTTTTGACCAATCTGCATTGGGCAGAGCAGGAGCAAGACATAAATATTTAAGATAATTTTTAAAGCTGTTTAATTTTGGTAAAAACATAGAAGATAAAATTTACCATCTTGACCAATTGTTTAGTGTACAATATGTTGTTTTAAACCTCTGAAACCCTGCCTGCTGTTCCTGTAATAAAACCTAGCCTGGGCCAGGCTCGGTGGCTCACGCCTGTAATCCCAGCACTTTGGGAGGCCCAGTGGATCACCCGAGGTCAGGAGTTTGAGATCAGCCTGGCCAACACAGTGAAACCCCATCTCTACCAAAAATACAAACAGTTCTCCGGGTGTGGCGGAGGGCGCCTGTAATCCCACCTACTCCGGAAGCTGAGGCCAGAGAATACCTTGAATCCGGGAGGCAGCGGTTGCGGTGATCCTAGATCAGGCCACTGCATTCCAGCCTGGGCAACAAGAGCGAAACTCCGTCTCTAAATAAATAAACAAATAAGAAAACCTAGCCCGGACTGTAATCACGTCCACTGGGAACTGGGGAAGTAGTGGAAGGGACGCCATCAGGCCTGTGGCTGCGCCCAGAGCATGGTGAGCCAAGGACCCCGCGGCGCAAGCAGGGGGAGGGAGAGTGTCGCGGGCCCAGGCGGGGACAGGGAGACGCCGCCCCCGCTGAATATTCCTCTGCGAGTTTCTTCACCTTCAATTAAAAAATGCTGTGATGATTAAATGAATCTGTCGTGGAAGGAACCGTGTCCTGGCAGGGGCCGGGCCGACACCCAGACACCAACCCGAAGGGGGCTGGGGCAAAGGGGAGGGACACCCGGAAAGGGGAGGGACACCGGCAGGGCAGACAACCGTATTTCTAACCTCTGTAACGGCGGGAAACGTGGATGGAGCGCCCCCATATATAAGCCGACTTTTCAACCTTGAGGTGATTCATCTTCCAGGCTCCCCTTCCATCAAGTCTCTCGTCCCCAGCGCTCTGGTTCCCCAATGGCAGCTGCCGCCGCTACCAAGATCCTTCTGTGCCTCCCGCTTCTGCTCCTGCTGCCGCGCTGGTCCCAGACTGGGCGAGACGGTGAGTTAGTGGATGGAGCCTAAGCGGGGCGGGGGCCAAACCTGGGGGGCAGCGGGTTTCAGAGGAGGGGAGGCTTCTGGAAGCACGGGGCAGATCTCCCCGAACTGAGCCCGCGTTCAGTTCCGGTCGGCGGCTCCTTCCTGCCCGGTCCACTCCCCGAGGCTGCTTCTTGCCAGGGGAGAGGCGAAAAGGAGCAGGGTGGAAAGGAGGCTGACAGGAGGGTGGAGGGGCCAGAGGGCTGCAGAGAGCGAGGTGGGACTGGGATCCCTGGTGCAACCTGGCAGCCCCATCGCCCTCGGGAAGGAAAAATCAGAGCCCCTGGAACCCAAGCTGGGGACAGGACACGGGTGAAGCAGGGTTCCACAGGGACGCAGGCCTGCTCTGCTCTCACCGGCTCTCCACCACACGAACCCTCCAGCACGCCCAGGGCTCCCTGCCCTGGAATGTTTCCCTGCATTTTCCTGCAGACATTCACCTGCACCCAGAGGCTCAGCAGACACCCCCACCCCTCCCCTCACCATCCACTGCCACCACCCAGGTCACTTCCTCTTACTCCCCACTTCAGCCCAGCTGGCCACCCTAGAGGTGTCCCATCCATGAAGGGGCCCTCACCACCTCCTACACCATGTGGCACCTTCTGCCTCTTGCCTGAGGACACACCCCAGCAAACACACCCTAAGCTCCCTCAGAACCTGTGCAGGGGGGATGGGAAGCACCATCCCCTCCAGGAGACTCTGGGAACTCTGGTGAGTAGAGGCGCCCACTTCTGCCCTTGGGGCCCAGACCCGCCTGTTCTTCCTACTGGGCACCAGCATCATAGAGAACAGTCACTGTGTAGACAAGGGTCAGCAAAGCCTTTTTAGAAAGGGAGGAAGGATGCCCTGTGATCTTTGCAGGCCTTGGGTTCTCCGTCTCTGTGTCCAGTCCTGTCCCTTTGTAGAGCAACAGCAGGCAATGGCAACCCGCAAATGAGGGGGGACCAGATTTGGACCCTGTCCTAGGTTGCTGATCCCAGATGAGGGAATTACAGTGTCCCAGTGAATAGTGCCCCATCCCTAGGGTGTCATCTCCAAGTGATGTCTCGGGGGCCAGTTGGAGAGCGGTCCTACCTTACCTGTGGCTTCTGGGTGGTGTGGATGTGATGGGAGTGGGGGTCCCATAGCTGGGGGCTTACTCTCCCCTCCTTTGCTGCTGAGTGGCATCTATGGTCCATGGGGACCATCAGGGACCTTCCCTGAAGCCTCAGGTGTGATCTGAGGGTGAGAGGGTACAGCCACGTGGTGTCCTGGGGATCGGGGCCAACTGCTTGTGCAGTTTCTTGGTTCCCAATGGCCCTGCTCCTGCCCATCACAGGAGACCCACCTGCGTCTTCTCACTGCCGTGCCTACCTTCCTAATGACCTACAGGGTGAGAAGCCCACCAGTAATGGGCAGCTCTGGGGCTGGATGGTCACTGTCCTTCCATGGCCAAAGGTCCCATCTTTGCCAAGGCGCAGTACTCTACAGAAGCAACTGTTTAATGTTGAGATTTCCTTGCTGTGAGTGGCATTGCCTTGCCTCTGCACATTCACACGGAATCTACATTGTGATTTTCCAATTCGACATTGTAAGCACATGTACCTCTAGGATCTTAGGGGGTATTGGGTCATTGGGCACTTAAGGCATGTCCAGCCTCGCTCATCATTCATGGATTGTCTATGGCTGCTTTTGAGCTACAACAGCAGAGTTGAGTAGTTAAAATGGAGAATATATCCCTGCACACCTTTACATGTTTACAAAATTGCCCTTCACAGCAAACTCTAGTTGCCATAAATATCTCTGTAGAAGGTCACAAGGACTCATTGTACTTGCTGCCGGGTTAAAGGGTCCTTCCTCACTAGAAACTGGTGTCTTCTTCTAGTCATGGGTTCAGGGTCTGAGAAGTGGCTTCATTCTGCAAATTGGGCAAAGCCGCCTTGTTCTTGAAGGACTGGCTACTTTCAGCCTCCTGGTCATCCATCATTTGTTTTATCTGTTTCTTGTAATTATTTAAATCCAGAAGTATCCGGGTTGGGTTTCCACCTCTTTTGGACCTTGGACTCCTTTGTTCTATGAGCCATGGGCATAAAACTTTGTATAACTGAGGTTCCCAGCTGGCATTGTGACTTCTCTAATCATTTCCATCATTGCACCCTCCTTGCTCCTGACAGTTGACAGCCTCCACCTGGAATCTATAATTTCAGAATTTTTCATCCCATTACTACTGGGAGCCCATTTCGGGAACAGCATCTCCTACCGCCAAACCTGGTCTTCAGCAATAGGCATCCCTAAGCTTCATTCCATTCTGGTGCCTTCTCATGGGGCCTTCTTTATATGCTGGGTAAACAGGAGTCCTCCAGGTTTCCCACGAGCACAGTGGATGGAAATTATTCTGGATTTTCACACTTAGACCCTTCTGGCATGGGCACTTCTCTGAGCCTGTGATCCCTCCCTCTACTACCTGCCTTAGATATTCAGATTTTCTATTTCTTGCTGCGTGGACCATCCCTTTATCCAGGGTTTCAGGAAGGCATCCTCATAGCAGATGCACGCCATCACCAGGGGCTTTGCCAACATGTTAAATCTTGTGACCATGATAATTAATTCTTCTTTATCCAACTGGTTCCATCCTCAGTCCATCCTACCATGCACCAGCACACTCAGGGGCAGCCCCCACACCCTCTCCCACCTCCCACAGTCCACATGGGCTGTTGCTGAAGATCCTCTGCCAACCAGGCCCTTCCTCCACTAGCAGTCCTGGCACCCCTTTAGCAAGGTCATGTGTTGACCAATGTGGGCAGAGGAGCAGTGGGACATGTTTGGGGACATGTGGTTTCTCAGCAGGCAGAGACCTCCTCCTCCTCCTCCTCTTCCTTGTCCTCATGTGAGGGGCAAGCACTTGCCTTAATCTTGTGGACACCACAGTTCTGGAGGGGGCACTCCTTCCTGGGCCAGCCCAGCCTGCCAGAGGTGACCTCTTATTGTCACAGTGTGGAGGAGGGGCTAACTAGGGGTCTTTCTCTCCCCACCCACCCCTCACCTGCCTTTCTCCACAGACCTTCACTCTCTTTGCTATGACATCACCATCATCCCTAAGTTCAGACCTGGACCACAGTGGTGTGCGGTTCAAGGCCAGGCAGATAAAAAGACTTTTCTTCACTATGACTGTGGCAACAAGACAGTCACACCCGTCAGTCCCCTGGGGAAGAAACTAAATGTCACAAAGGCCTGGAAAACACAGAACCCAGTACTGAGACAGGTGGTGGACATGCTCACAGAGCAACTACTTGACATTCAGCTGGAGAATTACACACCCAAGGGTAAGTTTCAGATGGCCCAGGACAGGAGGGAGCAGATACAGTGGTAGGTTAGAGGCATTTATAGTTTTCACGTAAAAATACAAATGGGGGCTGGGCACAGTGGCTCATGCCTGTAATCCCAGCACTTCGGGAGGCCGAGGTGGGCCAATCACAAGGTCAGGAATTTGAGACCAGCCTGACCAACGTGGTGAAACACTGTCTCTACTAAAAACGCAAAAATTAGCTGGGTGTGGTGGTACACACCTGTAATCCCAGCTACTTGGGAGACTGAGGCAGGAGGATCCCCTGAACCCAGGAGGCAGAGACTGCAGAAAGCCGAGGTGATGCCACTGCACTCCAACCTGGGCAACAGAGTGAGACTTTATCTCAGAAAAAAAAAAAAAAAAAAGGCCGGGCGCGGTGGCTCAAGCCTGTAATCTCAGCATTTTGGGAGTCCAAGGCAGGCGGATCACAAAGTCAGAAGATTGAGACCATCCTGGTTAACACAGTGAAAACCCATCTGTACTAAAAATACAAAAAATTAGCCGGGCGTGGTGGCGGGCACCTGTAGTCCCAGCTACTTGGGAGGCTGAGGCAGGAGAATGGTGTGAACCAGGGAGGCGGAGCTTGCAGTGAGCCACTGCACTCCATCCAGCCTGGGTGACAGAATGAGAGTCTGTCTCATTGTAAAAAAAAAAAAAAAAAAAAAAAAAGGGAGGGTCATCTCACCCCTCAAGAGGTCTAGAGGCAAGGCCAAGATGTGGCAGAGAGAGTAAGGCCAGGAAATTGTGAGGGGAACAGGATGTGGGTATAAAATTTGTCAAGACCAGAGCTGATCTCTCTCTGATGGGGGCAGAACCCCTCACCCTGCAGGCCAGGATGTCTTGTGAGCAGAAAGCCGAAGGACACAGCAGTGGATCTTGGCAGTTCAGTTTCGATGGACAGATCTTCCTCCTCTTTGACTCAGAGAACAGAATGTGGACAACGGTTCATCCTGGAGCCAGAAAGATGAAAGAAAAGTGGGAGAATGACAAGGATGTGACCATGTCCTTCCGTTACATCTCAATGGGAGACTGCACAAGGTGGCTTGGGGACTTCTTGACGGGCATGGACAGCACCCTGGAGCCAAGTGCAGGAGGTAACAGCTGTAAAAGAAATGGGGATCTGGAATGAGATCAGAAATGGTGATCTCAAGAAACTAGTTCTTGAGTTCAGCTTCAGTCATCCCAGTATACACGTTTATGTTAAAATGACCCCCTCATGGGCGCTCCTCCTGGGGGTGCTGGTGTGCCTGTGCTCTCCCATCCTCCTCTCCCTTCTCCCTCCTGACTCCTATTATTCATTGCATTTGCTTCTGCTCCGCGCACTGTGGATTTCTCACCAGCCTTGAAACTGCAGGTGTCACTGTGTTTTCAGACCTTTCTCCTTAGTGTTTCCTCTTTTGATAATCACTTTTCCTTTCCTTTCCCTTGTCTGCTGGAAATCCATCAAAACCACCTCCAATGCCAGCCCAGAGACCCTCCCTTCCCCAACTCTGGAGCATCACCTCCTTTTCCACCACAGCAGGAGGGTGGGGTGTGCTGTCACCTTGCTTCCCTCCGCAGCTGTGTGAGCTCCCTGAGGACAAGGGACACCCCCTCTCCCTTCCTACCCCAGGAACTGTCACACCGGCTGCCCCACGCCAGCAGGGAGGGGACAAAACTTTTGCCTTCCAGGATGACCTGGGGTGGCAGGCACTTAGGAGGTGTCTCCTCAGATTTGGGGCCTGGACAAGGGTTGTCACTTTTGTGTTTCCATTTCAGCACCACTCACCATGTCCTCAGGCACAACCCAACTCAGGGCCACGGCCACCACCCTCATCCTTTGCTGCCTCCTCATCATCCTCCCCTGCTTCATCCTAGCTGGCATCTGAGGAGAGTCATTTAGAGTGACAGGTACTGTGGGCAGAATTGCAAGTGGAGCAAGGAGCAGGTGGGTGAGGAGGGAGGACGGGAAAAGAGAATTCCCAGAGTCCTACCCCTCCCCGTGGCTGGGACCTTCTCATCCTGACATGAGACAGGTGAATGAGACCTTTTGTCACCTATTGGCAATGACCTGGGCAGCTCAGCCCTGAGTACTGATGGAGTCTCACCTTCAGAGTCCAGAAGGAAATGGAGGAGCCCATACCAAGGCTCAGAGTCTGTTGAGCTTGAGGTTTAGCAAGTTCAGGCATGATTCAGAGCAGGTTCCTATTCAGGAAGGGTGTGTAGCCTGCAGGCAGCAGGAATTCAGATATGGGCAGTCCTCTTAATTGAGTTAGGTGCATCATGGTAGTTTTACATGAGGTGTGACAAGGGAAGGGGGATTCCATCTCTGAGGCTAAGAGAGAGACCTGGGTGTAATCCCAGGAGGAGGGGGCTGGGAGAGCCTTGGTACAACTAATGGAAAAGGTGGGAGTGCACGACTGCCTTCCTACAGAAAGTGGCTTGGGTTCCAGGAATTAAGGTGGAAGGTGAAGAGTAGAGGATGCTCAAGAGAAGGATTTTTTAAAAGTCAGTTACATGAACCCGTGGGGTTTGCGTCTGGGCCCTGAGGCAGCTCCCCTGCCATCATCCTCCTACACACCCCAGATCCTGAGCCCGCTGATGGCCCTGTCAGGAGCAGAGTGGACTCAGAAGAAGGGGGGTCTGAGCTGCTGCTGGGGTTCCACGGGCACCACTGGGCCAGCTATCCAGGAAAGGATAAGGTAGAACAGGGACAGACACCTTCAGAGCTATGGGTGCTGCTCCCAGTGTGAGGAGAGGCTCAAGAAGAAGGGGAAAGAATGATGTTTGCCTGCAGGTCCACACAAGGCCAAGGGCACAGGAATACAGAACCCTGTCTTTGGATGTCTGTCCCACTCCTTGCCATGTTTTAGGTCCTCTCATCAGATCATAGAGAGGGCCTTGAGTGAGGGTGCGGGCCCATCACTACCAGCTTCAGACCTGTGGGCCCCTCCACTCCATGCCCTGGTCAGGTGCAGGGCCTGGGCTGACTCTGTGATGTGACAAAGGAGGAAAGAAGTTGGTCCAAGCTGCAGTCGCCAGCGTTGGGGCTCAAGGGAAAAATAGGTCCCTTAGTGCAGGGGGATCTGACACATGGAGTGACCAGGGAAAGATTACCCTGGAAAAGTGATCCGGGTTCTCTGCCTGTTAAACCAACATTTGTGTCCCCTCTGAAGGTTAAAGATGACACCAAAAAGCCCCTGTGAGCACGGTCTCGATCAAACTCGCCCTTCTGGCTGGCGACTTGCCCACCACCTACTGTGTATGTCCAGAGGCCTCCAGCAGATCATGATGACACCATGGACCCAATAGCTCATTCACTGCCTTGATTCCTTTTGCCAACAATTTTACCAGTGGTTATTCCTAACATATTTGCAATTTTCTCTTGGTACTACCTGATGGAATTTTTGCACTTAAAGTTCTGGCTGACTAAACAAAATATGTCAACATTTTCTTTCTTCTGCTTTTGTTTGGAAAATCAAGTACTTCTTTGAATGATGATCTCTTTCTTGCAAATGATATTGTCAGTAAAACAATCATGTTAGACTTCAGACCTCCAGGGATTCCTTCCATGTTTTGAAAGAGAAATGTTTAATTATTTAATAACAAAAAATTTTATATTAATGATACTTTCCTTTAGTAATGTATTGTTCTGTACTGATATTTAAATAAAAAGTTATATTTCCCAAAAACCTACTGAGTTTGGAATTTTGTTGTATTAATCAGTAGAGGATTAATGTTACTTCATTTTTCCTCCATGATATGGAGTAATAAATGAGTGATTCTACCAGATTTTGTGTGGAAAAAGATAATCTACAAAACATGGCTGAAAAAAATCAGAGACAACACAAATACATGGAAAAATATTTCATGCTCATGGATTGGAGAATCAACATAGTTAAAATGGCCATACTTCCAAAAGCAATTTATAGATGCAACACTATCTCTATCAATACCAATGTCATTTTTCACAGAATTAGAAAAATCTAATCTAAAAGTTATCTGGAATTTAAAAAGAGCCCAAATAGCCAAAACAATCATAAGCAAAAAGAACAAAGCTAGAGGCATCACATTGCCTGACTTCAAACTATAATATAAGGCTACGGTGATCAAAACAGAGTGGTACTGGTACAAAAATAGACACTTAGATCAGTGAAACAGAATAGAGCTCAGAAAGAAACCTTCACACCTTCTAACCTTCAACAAAATCAACAAAAACAAGCAATGGGGAAAGAGTCCTAATTCAACAAATGGTGCTGGGATAACTGGCTGGCTAGCCATGTGCAGAAGAATGAAACTGAACCTCTACCTTTCACCATATATGTAAAATAACTCAATGTGAATTAAAGGTTTAAATGTAAGTCCTAAAACTATAAAAATCCTGGAAGATAAGCTAGGAAATGCCACTTTGGACATAGGGCCTGACAAAGATATCATGAAGAAGACACCAAAAGCACTTGCAACAAAAACCAAAAATTGACAAATGGGACCTCATTAAACTAAAGAGCTTCTCCACAGTTAAAAAAAAAAAAAAAAAAATTAGCAACACAGTAAACAGCCTATAGAGTGGGAGAAATATCTGCAATCTATGCATCTGGCAAAGCTCTAATATCCAGAATCTACACGGAACTTAAACAACTCAACAAGCAAGAACAAAATCCCAAGTAAAAAATAAACAAAGAATGTGAACAGACACTTTTCAAAAGAAGACCTGCAAGTGGCCAGCAAACATGAAAAAATGCTCTTTGGGAAGCCGCGGTGAGCAGATCACGAGGTCAGGAGTTTGAGACCAGCCTGACCAACATGGTGAAACTCCGTCTCTACTAAAAATACAAACATTAGCCAGGCATGGTGGCGCACACCTGTAACTTGTAATGGGGCATAGTCTGATGTTGAAACTATAAAATACCTTAGACTGGTACTTTCTAGTGTTTTCCAGCAGACGGCACTGCTCATCTTGCAAATAGTTCAGTAAGCCCAGAGGGTTTGCTCACAGCGAGTTTGTGCCCTGAGCTTCTTGGCACACAGCTTGGGATCCACAGCCAAGGGCTACAGAGAAGACAAGAGACGCTGGCATCATGGTGGAAGAGAAATCCATAAAGAGTTCATTTTTGAGGATTGAGGCAGTTCCTTCTGCGCTGCAGATCAAGATGCCCTGAGGGCAAAGAGCAGAGGGGTGCTCTCTGGTGGCCCAGCAGTTCTGCTCCGGGGAAGAATTCTCTTCTGCTACAGTGAAAACCAACAGGACGCTGCTTCATCCCCGGGGGGACCAGGAAGATAGGTCAGAGTGAAGAGCTGTCTGAGTGTTTCAGATCACACAGTGACTGCCTGCTTGAGGGCTTCAGAACTCCTTCATGAACTGGGAGACAGCTGGCCAGGTGAAAGGTGCGTGGGCAGGATGGGCCCGACATGACAACTCTCAAGATGACACGCGTGTTTCTCCCGTGTGTTTCTGTATGTCTTTGTATGTGTCCATGTATGTGCATGGTTGTGTCTGTATTTCTGCATGCATTTGTGTATGTGTGTGTGTGTGTGTGTGTGTGAGAGTGTGTGTGCCTGCGTGGTGTGAGTGTGTGTGAGAGACTGTGCCTGCATGTCTTTGTGTGTGTGTGCGTGTGTGTGTGTGTGGTAACATGCCTGTATGAATGGTGAATGGATTTTCTGGTTGAGTTGCTGTGGAGGGAGACAGGGACTCTAGGGGGCTTCCTGCCCACCCCTCCTTCCCTGAAGTCAGTAGCACAAATAGCACAATAAAAGGTAGTTTAATTTCATTTTATGCAAATGTAAAACTTTTGTGCTTCAAAAAGGACTCCATTTAGAAGGTAAAAAAAAAAACAAAAAAAAAACAAACAAAAAAAACACACAAAAAAAAACTTCCAGAATGAGAGAAAATAATTGAAAATCATGTATCTGGTAAGGGATTGTTATTCTGAATATATAAAGAACTCTTGCAACTCAATATTATAAAGTGAAGTAAGCCAATTTAAATATATGCAAGGAATTTGAATAGACATTTCTCCAATGTGAGACAGGTAAACTGCACGGTGGTCTCAAAAGAACAGAAAATTTTAGGCAGCAGTTTCAGGTGACGAGCAAAAGGAATCTGTTGAAATATCTGCAGCGGCTGTGGGCTGATAAGATGCTGAAAAACAGCGTGTGGACCAGGCTAAGAATGAGTGGACCCAACATGGCCCTGGATTTGACCCAGATTTCACGTAGGACCTCATTACATGCTGACTAACATACTAGTCAGCACCCTAGCAGTTCTGAGAATACTCATATTTGGTATAAAAATTCGAGGCACCAGAGTTCTGAGAAAACCTGTCCTTCCAGGAATTTTCATGAGTATTACACCCCTTGGTTGAAGAAACCCAGAAAGGTGGCAGCCCCAAGCCCCCTTGGCCCTGCCTCTCTCTTGAGTTCCCCTGCACTCCCTTTATTTGAGTATTTACTTTTCCTTTCACAATAAATCTCCATCCTTTCTCTATTTTCCTACTGGTCTTCGAATTCACTTCCCCATGCGCTGCCAACAGCCCCGCACCGGCTGGAGTCGCGGTCCCACCAGCGTTTGGGGACCTCTCCTTGCCCACTGGCATTAGAAGAATGCAAATGGCAGTGAACCCAGGAAAAGGTGCTCAGTGTCCACAGCCCTCAGGGAAATGCCAACCGCACCCACAAGGGGACGCCTCACCCCGCTGGAACGGGTGACCCCGAACACAGTGAGGCTGGAGGGGGTGGGGCCTGCGTTCCTTACAAGGCAGAGAGCAGGAGAGGGAGAGTTGGTGGAGTGTGGGGCTATGCGTGTGTCATCCTCTTCCCATTTTCCTGGCAGAGGTATCCCTTTGTTCTATGGCCCTACCTGCTTCCTTCCTCTCCCTTTCTCTGGTTCTCCCTCCCATCCTTCATTTCCAACCATCCCAAGG